TCGAGTGTGTCCTAAATGATGTCTTGCTGAGTTCCAATGTGTTACTGAAATGCATTCAGTAGCTTGACTTGGGTTTTTCTAATTTAAAAATCAAAGCTTCAGTTCACTCCTATCTGCTTTATTGCTGAACACCAGCGAGAGCATGTCTTACTTCCCATGATTCAAAATTTAAGGGAATAAAAAGGCTGGAAAATAAAGCTATATGGGGAACTGATGAGTAAAGAAAGGGACTTAATGAAAGAGAAATATTCTCCCATGTCTTCAGAGGAGATGGAGGGTTGTCTGAACTCAGAGCACATGAGCAGCCTAGAGAGGCAAGTTGCAAGCTGCCATTTAAATCTCTTTCTTCCCCTTTGCCAGGTTGAGCAGGAGGCAAAAAGGTCTGAAGCTGCTATGGAAAAGGGTGTGAGGAAGGCTTAGGGACACCAGAAATTGAGCACCTTTTAGTTGGAAAGGACAGGACATTGTTATGACTTGAAGCATCTGTGAAGGACTTTGCTGCTCATGCCAGGAAATCCCCTGTGGCAGGGTAGCTGGTGAGAAGAGGGGAGCACACATTGCCACAGGGCACCAGCTGTCTCAGGTTGGTCCACATAAACCCTGTGTGAACTCTGTGATGCTCCCAGGTGAAGAGGAGGTCTTCAAGGCACAAGCTGAAGGTAGAGCTGCTGCCTGGCTGTGTGAAGGCTTCATGTGCTTCCCTTTCCTTACACTGTGCTACCTGTAACTGTGCTCCAGGTGAGTGGGTGAGCCAAACATTACCAAATTGTGCAGCAAAGAGCTTTCAGATCAGCTGGTGTGAGATTTGGCCTCCTCTGCTTGTGGCTGCTTGGCAGCAACCTGAACTGCGTGATAGCAGTGTCATCTTTCCTCTTCCTCTCTTGGGGCTTCCTATGTCATCCAGGACCTGCTGTGGGGCTGGTGGGGATCCTTCAGCCAGGGAGGCCTCTTCAAGCTTGTAAGGATGAGGCCTAACCTGCCTGGAGCTGAGGGTGGAGGGCTGCAGGTGCTGTTGGTGGAGCCTTTGAACATACAGAGTGCTGTAGGATGCAGCTGATTGTTGTTTCTAATCAGGCAGCAGAGCAATCAGCTGCTTTTATCTCTCTGAGCCCTTACTCCCCAGCTGGAGAGTGGGGTGGTGTCTGCCCCCTCAATTCCCAGGATTGTTCAGAGCAGTCATTAACCTTAAAATCGGTGAAGCCCCTAGTCACTGAAGCAGTGAGTGCCACTGAAAAGCCCAGAAGGAAACTAATTCTAGTGCCAGAGGCAGGTTTGAACAAGTAGCATCACATGCTGGGCAGTGAGCAGAGACAGAACTTTACCTCATGACAGCAAGGCTTCACACATCCTGGTCTTTCTCCTATTCCAAAACAGCTTTCCTTGGTCTTGCTGCTCCTTTCCCTGCTTTGTACACAGGGAGGTGGGACCTCTGCAGTCTCACCTGGTCCAGGGAGCAGGGCAAGGGCTGGTCTGGCTGCTGGCAGAGGTGTCCTGCCTGTGATGCAGCAAGGACCACAGCACCCTCCCTCAGGGGGTCTTTGGAGCCCTGGGATTGCTGCAAGAGGGTCTGCAGCAGGTAGGTAGATGTAAGCCTGTTACCGAGTCAGGATGATGTCTGTCCTTTAAATGGAAAAAAAACCTAGCAGGGTGAGACATTTGGAAAAGTTGAAGATTGCTTTGAGAACTTGCTGTTTAAAAACTTATTAATATCTTCCCTCCCCATCCTCCACTTGAAATGTTGCTAAATTTGATGTGTAGATGAAAAAATTGCTGTTTCTCTTTCATAGTCTTCAGCTTGAAAACCTTTGGACTCTCTCCCTCTTCCCCACACAAAAGCTGTCTCGGGTAGAGCAGGCATAAATATTTTTATCAGGCTTAAATAGCTTGGGCTGAAGTTAAAAGCAAGGAGCAGCCTTTGTAATGGGGCAGGCTGGAGCACCATAGCAGGCAGTGCTACTGGTTTCACCTGTATCATTGAGTCTTTCCAATTAGCCAGGAAAGCTGTCTGATGAGATGTGGGAATACTCTGCCCATACCACCCTTGCTGCTGGTAAGGCCATGCTCCACTGACCTTGCTCACTGAGCATCATTGGCCTTAAGCCTTAACTGAGGTTAATGTTTTACTTCATTTTCTGGTGTGAGTAGACACAGCAGTATAAGGGCAGTTTTGACCAGGAGAACTTCCTCTGTTCAGACCAAAATGAGACATGCCTCCTCACAAATTCATGCAATGTGAAGATGTTGTCACTTCCAGTTCTAGTTGTGACTTCCTTCCAGAGTTTGCTGGGGGAAGAGGTTGTGTGTGTGCTTCCTAACCTACTCCTGCAAAATCAGCTGGGGTAACCTAGAATGTCAGTGTGACCCGGAGTGAGTTCAGCAGAACCAGCCAGTGATGGACTTGGGGATGTCTCGCCTAACCCCTTCTGCTAGCAGAGCTTTGGGACAGGTAACTTCTTGAAGTGGTCTGCCCATAGCAGCTGGGCATGAGAGAGTCTCGAAGGGTACAAGAAGATCCCAAGGAAGCTGACTTATTTCAGCCTTTTGTGTCCAGGAAATAATCTGGTAACAGTAAAACATTTAATCCACAGGGACAGAGGTCTAGCAGGGCAGAGTAGTGGCGTCATCCTGGTCAAGACTGCAGGAGGAGGCACCTGGCCTCTGGCCATGTAATTTTTAAGCTTGGAGTGCAGACATGGTCTGCAAGAGCGTAGCACTAAGGAAAGGGACTTGCCAGCACTTCCTGCCCTACCCTGGCAAGCTGATAAAGCTCTTTGCAATGTAGGGCAACCTCAGTTTATTTTTAAAATGTGCCCAAGCATGGAGCTCAAAGAATAACTGGAACACCCAGATTTGGGCATTAAATCAGCTTTAATTCATTACCTGATGAATTAAAGAGTTAGTGTAAATGTAAAAAGGACAAGATAGGCCCACAAACCATCTCCAGAGCAATGTCTGCATAAAAGAGTTCATCCTATGCATGTGCATGGGATCTAAAAAAAGAGTAGATGGTAAATGTTATACAGGGAGGGGCACATAGCATTATCCTGAGCACCGTGTGAATTTTCTTGCTGCTTGGACAATGCATCTCAATCCTGTTCCCTTCCCTTGTTATTCTAGTCCCAGCCCTGTTGTAAGCAAAGATAATTGCATGCCGAAGGATACAGTTCCCATGTACAGTTAAGTGCTCACATCGAGGAGTTCTGGGTTCCTGCAATGAAAAACCAGCAGATTGTTGCACAGTAACGATAACAAGGTCCACTGGGATGGATCTGTCTTTATTGTGTGCCCTGTGGAGGCATAAATGAGACTGCCAGAGATGTTCTTCTTCTTGCCCAGATGCTGGGACAGCAGGATTGCTGTGGACCAAAACACGTAGAGTTCAGGCCAGGAAGGAGCTACTGCAGGGGGAGGGAATTACAGCCTTTAACTCCTGGAGCACACAGAATGCCTCACCACCTCTTGCCTCTCTCAGACAGTCTCATTCCCACAGCAGGATTTGTTAGAAATGAGATTACTCTTTCTGGTCTGATTGCTTAGATATTTTATTTATAGTGTTATTTCTGTAATAAAACCCCTTCTCTCAAACACACTTTTGAGGCACGAAAGCAGCTGTGTTAAAATGTCCCAGCAGGAAGAAGAAATATCCCTGCTTGCCCATCTTGTCCTCCTGATCTGATTTCATGTGCCAGGACTGAGGGGTGATGTTTCTAGAAAGAGGGACTGGTTAGCTTCTTACATTGCAGCAGTGGGTGACTACTTCAGATTGTACTGCCCTGAGCAGCCACTTGGGCTCTTAATAGTGATGCCAGCCCTCCAGAAATAAAAATGCCACCTGGAAGGAAACAGCCCAGGCTTTAGCCTGAGCACCATCTGGCCCAACCCTCTGGGAGGCCTTGTCAGCACCAGGTGGATACCCTGGCAATGGGACCATGTGCCAAAAAGTTGGGAATTCTTTCATCATGAGCCCCATGGCACAGAAAGCTTTATTAAATGTGAAGTTCAAAGAGCAGAGCCAGTAACCACATGAAGCCACTCCAAAACACCACAGCAGTCTCGGTCATGCCAAGGGCCTGTGCGAGGGTTGAGGCATGGGACTGTTGGTGGCATGTGTTAGAGGGTGTTAGGGGGAGATGGCTTGGATCAAAGCCATGGTGTTTACTAATGTCTTCCACAGATCAATAGTGTAGTAAGTACCAAAAATAAACAACCTGATGCTTTTAAAATCACTAGGCTAAAGGAAACATTTTCCAGTTTAGCAGTATCTCTATCTCTGCTCTTTTTCTGGGGCCTGTGATCATGAGGCATCCTGGGGGCTAGGAGGGTTTGCCACAGCCTGATCCTGATGGTGCTGAAAGGCAGGAAGAGCTTTGCCTGTAGTGCCTGCTTATAGAAGCACAAAACTGTGCAGGCTTGTTCCCACCCAGGTGCACATCACTAGCACTGGCACTGAAGGTTGCTCTGATCCAAGCAGGCTGTGTGGGTCCCCAGACATGCTTAACATGGAAGGTGGCCAGGACAGCTTTGCCTATGCCATTGCCATGTCTGCAACATTAGCCTCATGTTGAGGGAAAGCAGTGCTTACCTGCAGTCCTTTTTTTTATACCTGGGGAGGTCCTACCTGCTTCTTTCCCTTTCTTCCCCAAGAATTTCAAAGGAGGGAGGAAAGAAGGATATGCCCTCCCACAGTGCCCCAACAACATCACAGTGGGTTGACAGCAGCAAATGCCTTCATAGCTCTGTTCTTCAAAGTTCATTTGATAAGAGCCACTTTCATTCTCACCATCAGCCGATAAAGCATCTTTGGGAAGTTGGTTGACAACTAGCAGAAACAGGCATGCACTTAGGAGCTTCTAGACTCAAGCATTTTATTTCAGGGCTAGAAAGGATGCCAAAGCTTTTATTCCAGTGGGAAATTTCTTTCATTATTTTTTATTCTTGAGGGAATATGCTCTGAATTGTGGGTTATTCTACCTTTCTTCTCTTCCAGGGAAGGAACTGCCATGCCCGTGGGAATCTTCCGGGTGTGCCTATTGGTGATTACAGCTATTGTCAACCACCCGCTCTTCTTCCCCAAAGAGAATGGCACTGTCCCTGAGAACACGGAAGAAATCATCCAGAAGATGAAGGAACGGGAGGAAAGCCTTCGGCTGGAACAGTTGCGCTTGGAGCAGGAAATCGCAGACCAGGAAGCCACACAGAAGGCTCTAGAAAAGGCTGCACTGATAGTGGAGGAAAGCAAAGAGGAAAAGGTCCGATGGGATATGTGGACCCCAAAGAGAATGGCACTGTCCCTGAGAACACGGAAGAAATCATCCAGAAGATGAAGGAACGGGAGGAAAGCCTTCGGCTGGAACAGTTGCGCTTGGAGCAGGAAATCGCAGACCAGGAAGCCACACAGAAGGCTCTAGAAAAGGCTGCACTGATAGTGGAGGAAAGCAAAGAGGAAAAGGTCCGATGGGATATGTGGACTTTCCATGGTCTTTTTTTTAGAGCTTTGGAGGCAGGATTTCCAGGAAGGGAATTGGCAGGACATAGGAGGAGAGGAGGATGACATGGCAGTCCTGGGGAAAGCATTTAAAGGAGTTGTCTTCCCTGACAAGGCTGTCTTGGCCAGCTTCTATGAGAAACGCATCCTGGGTACCACCGGAGACATGGCCAGGATGCGGGAGATGGTGGAAGGCTTTGCAGATGACCTGCTGGAGGCCTTGAGGAGTGTTTGTAACAGGGATGCTGACATGGAAGTGGAGGATTGCATGGGTGTGGGGAGCATGTATGAGAATTGGAGAGTGCGTAAACCTTTCGTCTGTGATCTGATAGTGCCTTTTGCCCCCCCAGAGCCATACTGTTTTCGCTGCCAGACCTGGTGCTCTGGTGACTCCTTTCCCCCAGATGAACAAGGTTATGGCACTATCAAGGTATGCAGGGCAGATGAGGATGTGACAGGTTGCATCTGTGACAAGACTAAACTAGGGGAAGATATGCTGTGCCTCCTTCATAGCCAAGTCAATACTGCCAAGCCTAGCAGTGAGATGGAAGACCTCCTGTGCTTCAAAAATACTCAGTATCTGGATGCTGACCAAGTCATGAAGTGGTTCCAGATCGCAGTCACCAAGGCCTGGAACAGAATCTCCCACAAGTATGAATTTGACCTTTCCTTCAGCCTCTTGGACTCACCAGGAGCCCTGAAGATAAAATTTAAATCAGGGAAATCGATTGCCTTCAACCTCACCCCAGTGGTGCAGTATGAGAACTCTGATGTTTACTTCATCTCTCATTTCCCTCGGAGCAGCCTGGCAGCAGACCTCCCCTCCAGCACTCACTGGTTTCTCACCTTCGCAGTGTATGAGAGGAGGTTCATCCAGCTGGTCTCCAAAACACTGCCTGCCAATGCCTGCCATGTCAGCTGCCTTCAGATCCTCTCCTTCCTCCATGGGAAGCAGTGCAGTCTCACAGGTCCAAGTGGGCTCACCAACTACCACCTGAAGACAGTGATGCTGCATCTCCTGCAGGCATGTCCCAGTCAGGACTGGGCACCAGAGAAGTTGGAGGCCCGTCTACAGGACATGCTGAAATTCCTGGAGAAATGTTTGCATGAAAAGAAGCTCTACCACTTCTTCATTGGCAATGAGAAGGTACCAGCAGAGCTGGGTTTCCCCATCATATTTCAGAGGGCTGAGCCTCTCAACCTTTTCCGTCCCTTTGTGCTACGCAGGGACATTTACAGGAAGATGGTGGACACATTCCACGAGATGCTCAGGAACATGTCTGCACTGATAAATGAGTACACAGTGCACATTCCCCTTGCACACACCAATGGGATCCATAAGGAATCCCTTTAACCAAAGCCAAACTCTAAGCACAAGTCCAGAGGGCAACTTTCTGAAGCCTCCTGGAGACAACCGACTTTACCAGTACAGGTTCTCGTCTACAGCTGAACCAGTCCTGGGCCATGGTTCCTGCAGGAAGGGAGAGGTGATGGCAGGAGAATAGGGAGAAACTGGAAGATGTGGTATTGAAGTAGATTTCTGCCCCACTGCTGTGCTGGCTTGGTTTTACGCAGCTAAGGATATATTTTTCTATTGTGCCTCAGTCATGCTACAGCAGTGGTGAGCAACAAATATAACTAATTTATTCAGATGCCCGTAATGCAAATGGTGTGTGTGTGGGGGGTGATGGTGGCCAAATACTTCGTTTCCTTTGGAATGGGGAGATAAGAAAAGGGTGGAGGAAACAGACAGGATCTTGGGATCAAAGGAGCCTGTCTGCTTGCAGACAGCAGGAGCTCTTCCACTGATGGGAAGCGAACATAAGATTCCATCCTGGTGTGGAGAGGAGGAGGGTCATGCACAAGATCTGGACTGGATGGAGATCCTTAAACACGGCTTTAAAAAGGAACTGTAGTTAGAAAAAAAAAAAGCCTTCCTTACATCAGTAATTTAAATGGCTTGTCCTGTCCTTTGAAAACATCCCTGCACCCTGCACATTCCTTCTTCCTTGGGAGGATGTAGCAGAGCAGTGTCTGTGTCTTGAGACCATTTAATGTGAGTCTTCCATGGTAGCATGGCTAATGGTTTATATTCTGGCCATTTTCTATGCATAAATGGACAGGAACCTTTTTTTTTTTAGATAGAAGAAACACCACTGTTGGGTTCTAGCATTTTCGTTTATTTGTTTGTCTTCCTTACCCTGGGGCAGTAAAGCTGAGAACAGCCAAGAGAAGAAAAACAGGGGTTGAACTACATGGTCTTTGGAGGTCCCTTTCAACTCAAACTGTTCTATGATTCTATGACTGCTACAGGTTTTGCTTTCATAAAAGCATCAGTTCTCCAAAATTATCCTGTAATGAAGCCAGTCTCAGCAGTCTGATAGCAGGAGGAAACAATCACCCTCCGAATCAGAATGTGACTCTCCCATCACGGTTTTAATGAGGCCAAGGCCAGCAGAATGGCTCTGAGGTGGAGGAGGCGATGAAAAAGGTGCACATGTAGTACAGCTTGGCAGTGCTGTCTCTGCAGCTGCCTTGTGGTCTGTGTTGCATCCCTTCCTCTCCACATACCCAGGCAAAAGCTACCTTTTAGGGTCTCCTCAATCTTTTTAAAGACTGCTGCTCTCATGAGGCTCTGAGGAGCTGCTGCTAGCAGACTGTAATTTGCTGAACTGGGAGTGTGAAGGGGAAGTGACAGCTTCGGCAGGCTTTCGAGCCAGGGGAGAGTCTTGAAGCATGTGCTAAAAAATAACCACAGTGTAGACAACAGAGACACCCGAAATCCCTCAGGAAGCAGCATGTTAGTTCTGTGCCATTGGGCTGCCCAGCCCTGACAGGGTGGCTTTGATGCAGGAGAGAGCTCAGGAGGTCTTCACTCTTTTTGTGTGCTTTGTGCAGGGTCCAAGCCAGGACCTCAGTGCAGATTTGTATTGTGCTGGACCCAGAAGCCTGGCCTCCAGTGCAAATGGGCCTTTCCTACCATTTTCTTAAACTAGGAATGCCTGCAAAGTTTTATACTAGGGCTTCTCTGAATCCTGTTTACAAGGTAGTTGTTCTGCGAGGTGAGACCCATCAGTGATGATCTTACCATCACTCCACAGGTCCCTTTGTATCAATCCTTTCTATCGCATCAGAGAGAAGATTTAATCCTGTATCACTACTGGGGACAGCATATAGCATGAGGCTTATTATCCAGACTGTTGATAAGCAAACTCTCCATAGATATGTCCTCTACTCCCTTTTCCTGGTAAAAACCATTTTACCACCTCAGTGATGTCTGCTCTTTTCTGTCCCTTCACCAGTGAGGGAAGGGCACAAAGGTCACTTCAGGCACAAAGGCAGAGAAAGCTCTAACTCCTGTCTCCACACCTAGAAAGCACAGGTGGGGTCAGGGAACTCTTTTGCTCAAATCACTGCCTCCCTTGGCTTTTATTATCACAGGTATAGGGTAGTTAAGTAACATAGCTGATCAGAAAGTAAGGGGTAGGTAGTAAGCAAAATAGGAGAGGAGTAGGGAGAGAAGAGGCTCGTGGGTGATGCCAGTAGGAAAGAGTCTTGGATCATCGGTGCTTTCTTCAGCACCCTTGGTGATGACTGCCTGGAAGACTGCCAGGGCTGGCAGAGCAACAGGGGAGGACTAATTGCTAACGCTAACGAGTGCTGTAAGCCCCTGGCTTTCGTTAGTACAGCCAAGAAAGTCTTCCCCAGGAGGAAAGAGGGCAGGAGCAATCTCAGGGGATGTAACAAGAAGGTAGTGACAAGCAAAGGTACAGGGAGGATGGGTCAGCACTGGAGCATGGAGGCTACATTGGAAGCTGTGTAAGTTGTTTGCAAACCCAAGCAATTTGCCAGTTTTACCTGCCCAGGTTTACTGCACAGTGCCTGTAGCAGGCCAAGCTTTGCATGGGCTTCTGGCAGGCAGGTCATGCTGAAGCAATTGTGGTTGGAGTTGCTTCTAAATGTGTTCCCAGCCCAGCCAGAGAGAAATAAAAATTTCTCTGCTGTTTCCTGTCAGGAGTCTAAATTTAGACTGTCCAAACAACAGAAACAAAATTTGTGACCCAAGTCTCTCAGGAAACGACATTCAGGGTTGAAAAATAACTTTTATGTAAGGTTGAGCAGGGAGAGTATGAGAAGAAAAGGCTGTTGAACAGAATAAGGTAACTCCCCTATTAAAATATCAGAACAAAGCTTTGCAATGCCAGTCCTACGGGCTTGTAAACGTGTCCAAACTCGTCTTTACACAGCTCCAAGCAGTGCTATTGGGACTCAAAGGCAACCTAAACTGATAAGTGGATTGAACCTTTTGTTCTTTGTTTTCTGTATTTGTGTGCTTGTTCTCTCTTACGCCCAAGCTGACCCTGAAGTGTTCCCATGGGGTTTAGTTGAACCCAAGCTGGAGCTGAACCAAGGAATTTACAGATTTGATTCCACCTGAAAGCAAATTGCTTGGCTTAATTTTCCTACATGCAATACACACAATTTGCCCTGAGCACCTTTTAAGAGGTCTGTTCTGTGCATTTAGGCTGTGAGGGAACCCACTCATACCTCTCCAAGATGGGAAGTGCTTTGTGATCCTAAGCTGTGCTCCAGTCAGCCTCAGGGCAGAGATCTTCCTTGTAAGCCATATACTGGTACATACACCAGAGGTATAGACGTGTCCCATCAGAAGAGATGTGGGCATACAGCACTTCCTTGGACCAGACCTCTGCAGTGGTACAAGAAGGCAGCGATGTGAAGCACATTGTTCCTTGGATTTCCTTGTTTCTCTTGTATTAAATCTTTGTCCACCAAGTACTAGCCCTATGGGTAAAACTCCACATTCATATTTCATAAAAAGGCTTATGAGACAGGTCAGCTTCATCAGCTGTCAGCCAGCAAAAATGTCCTAAGACTTTTTAGTGTTGTCTGTGTGTAGTTCTGCCTTGATTGAAATCTTGGTGGGCATTCATAGGAAGCAGTTTTAAAGGGTGGGGGTAGAAGTGAGATTTTGTGGTTTAAACTGAAAAAATGTTCTTTTAAAGCCAAATTGCATATGACATGTGAGTGACAAACATGCAACATCTCTTTATCAATGTCTGTATCTCTGTGAGACATCATGAGAAAGGGTAAATGGCCTGTTCTGGACCCTTTGTGTCTCAGTACTGTTCTTGCTATTTCCTAACCAGGTGAATTCAACAGATGAACTCCTAGTGCCTTCTGCTGGTTTCCAACCACTCCCTCCACCCTCAACTTGTGGTTCTAGTATTTTATTATAGGTTCTGTCAAAGCAATGGAATTAGTGGTGGCTTGATAGCAGCCACTGATCTACAACATAGCCTCAGGAGCCATTTGCCTTTAGGAAATATCTTAGTCTAAGGTTATTATTGTTGTTCAGAAGCTGATTGTCTTCTAAGGGGAGCTGTTGGGTGTTCACTCTAGTATGCAGCAGCCACAGAATTCAGCTTCTCTCTCTCTGAGCTGCTCTGTATACAGGTCTTACAGGGGTATAAAGACGTCTTTTAGCAAAAGGATTCAAAAGTTTATCCAGTATTTAAGCAACAGGATTTGGTTCTTGTTCACCAGATGTTTTTAATGCAAAACCTTTGAGATGTTTTCTCTGTGGTGAGGAAATGAGACTTCACACACCTGTAACAGCTTAGCTGCTGGTCATTGAGGGGTTGGCTCTCATAGGACCCTACCTAGTAAACAGCTTTATTTATTACTTGGGGTTTTTTTAGGATTGGGGGTCTGTGTATAATATGTTAGCTCAGAGGCAAAGTGTAGTATGAAGATCAGTCTTGGTAATGCAGCCAAGATGGGCGATAACACCAAAACTCTCCAAACTAAGGTCTTCCCTGATTGACAATGCTGTACTTAAACTGCTGCTTTTATAGCAGGACACTGTTGAATTTGTGTAGATCTTCTCATGCAGCTTTATTTATAATAAAGGAAGTATTGTACAAAATCTAAATTAGTGTCAAGTCTGTTTTTTTCTAGTACCCCCAAAACATGTTTCCAAGAGAGCAGGACAGAGTAGAGATGTTTCCAGTATGGTCCTAGCACAGTGAGCCCAACAACAAGAATCCCTGGGATTCCTGACTGCCTGTAGAAATCATTCCAGAATAAGAAGCAATGTGAACATAAAGTGGAATAGCTATTCCAGAATAATGGCAGGGATGTCAGACTTCCTGTGAATGTGAATCCACATGAATTAAAAATAGTTTTTCTTGCTATGTCTGCTTCAAAACACCCTTTTATGGCAAGGCCTAAATTATGCTGGTAGATGTTGCCCTTATTGACTGAACCAGAAGTCTCCTGAATTTCAAGTTCAGCTGGAGGTATCCCCTTCACCTGCTTGTTTAACAGGTATCT